ATGGTAGCAAATCTATTCCATATCACCTCTACAACAGGTTATTTAGTTACTAAAATTATCTAACATCTATTAATACCATATGATACACCTGTGACGACTGTTCTAAGAAGCCCTGGTGACATGGTGGTTATGTTGTTGGCTGAGATCGGGCAGGTCAGCAGTTCAAAACCACCAGACAATCTGCAGGAGAAAGACAGGGCTTTTGGAAACTCACAACTCCTACAGGGTCACTATGTATCAGCATCACTCAATGGCAGTTTTGGACTACTATTCTACAAACCAGTGGGGTAGGTATTATGATTGTTGTCGTTAGGTGACATCACGTTGGTTCTAATTCAATACTGTTGTTAGGTACCATCCAGTCAGTTCTAACTCAATAGTGACCCTCTGTACAAGAGAACACTGCCCAGTCCTCTGTACCACCTTCAATCTGACAGGTGAGGAAACAGAGATACAAAATAACTGTAGGAAACTTGCCAAAGATCATAAAACAAAGCCTTAAACATATACTGCTGCTAAGTCTAAGAAATCAGTCTGGAAATGCCAGATCATGTATGATTCCTAATATAACATTCTGGAAAAAACAAAACTAAAGTGATCCTGAAATGTACACCGGAAGGTTGGAGGTGACATGAATAGGTGGAGCACAGAGCATTTTTAGGGCAGTGTAACTAATCTATATGATGCTGGAACAGTGGATACATAACATTAAGCATTTGTCAAAACTCATAGGACTATAAAGGGGGCTTCAAACAGTGCCTGGAAAAATTGCATTATCTTTTTATTTCATTTTCCCATGCATTTTTGAGGTACAATACAAAAACTAAATCCCAACATGAATTATAGACTTTAGTAATGTATCAATTTTGTGTAACAATATCCTGTAATACTGTATCACAGATGCATGTTAGCCACTAAAGTACAAGAGAAAAGGTTACACTGAACTCTCTCTGTACTTTCTGCAGTTTTAACTGCTCTTAAAAATAGTCTATCCAAAAGAAAAAAAAAATCACAAAACAATAAGCATCACTGTTAAGCAGAGGGCTTGAAACCTGGAGTCTGTCGTCCAAATCTGTTTCCTCATCTAACCACTATGCTTCAACACAGGCAAGTAATACATGGGGGACACCAAGAAAACGTCAACGACGGGTAAAAACTATTCTCATAGAAGAGAGCTTGATTCTGTAGCTTGTTTCCAAAAGTTTTGGATTTCAAACGCAACGATCTATTGCTTGGGGCGCCACAATTCCAAGACAACCATAAGTACTCAAATAACAGACTGGAAGGAAACGGACTCAAACTCACTCTCCGTAGGCGCCTTCTCCCAGGGTTTGCACCAAGTCCCAGTCTTCCACAAAGGGCACTGCCATAATGCCACTAAAGTAGCGGGGCTGTGACGGACGGGCAGGGGACCAGAAAAGACAGAGGATGAGTGGCAAGCTTCAATCACGTGTAAAGCCATTGAGCTCTCTCCCTGCCACGTTTCCCCAATATAAATATCTTGGTTGCTCCTCACAGCATCTCCATCTCCTTCCAAGTGTTTAAATCTCACGCAATATATTGAGGCATTTTACTGCGTAAAGCAGTCGCCACACGCGCAAACTAAAGGTCAGAGTTCTTCGGGGCCAGGAGGAAATCGATCAGCAGCGTTCAGAGATTGCGGGCAAGGGGGCGGGAACGAATGCTTTAGGGCGACGGACTCGCCTAGGGGCTTGGGGAGAGGCGGGGGACAATGAAGCCCAGGGGAGGGCAACTACGGCCCCAGCGGCCTCTCGTCCTGCTCAGATCAGTTCCCACACCCATCCAGTCCAAACGGCCAGGAGGAAGCCGGCACGGGGCCGAAACGCCCCAGGAAGCGGAAGGAGAGGCTGGGGCACAGGTGCGCGGCCCCCACCTCTGGCATTTCCAGCCCGCAGATCCGTCGAAGGAATCTCCGATCCCCTTTCTTGGGGACCCCTTTCTACCGCATTCTGCCCTCTCGCTGCGACCCCTCCAT